GGGAGTCAAAGATTTTGTACAATCATGTGATATTTGATTAAGATCCGAATTCCTTGTCATCAACCTTATAAACTTATTTAGCCATTATCTATTTTGAAACAACCATAGTCTTCTATTTCTATGGATTTTATCATAAATCTTTTAATCGTATATTCATATGATTTTATATCTATGATAGTAGATCATTTTACTAAAATGGCACATTTTGTACCATATATAAAATCTACCATGAGAGAAGAAATGGCTAAGCTTTTTCTTGACAATATCTATTACTATTATAAATTATCCAAAGATATAATATAGAATAGGAAGACTTAATTTGTATCAAGGTTTTGGAAAATCATTTTTAAAATTTTAAAGGTGGATACAAAGCTCTCTTTAGCATTTCATTCACAAATTAATAGGCAAATAAGTCAAATGAATCAAGTTTTAGAATAGTATTAGAAGTGTACCATCAATTATCATCAAGATGATTGGACAACTCTTTTGTCATTTCAAAGTTTGCATATAATAATTTGGTCCATTCTTCTACTAAATCAACATCTTTTTTGCTAATTATGATTATCATCTAAGATTTGATACTTTTGACTTTTTAAAATTTGATAATCTTATAAAAAAATATTTGATAATTTTTTTGTTATAACTATATGCAATAATAAAGGCATAGTTAAGAAAAACTCAAAAACAACAAAAGATTAATATAAATGCCTATTGCAAAGAACAATCAAAATTCAATAGGGATGAAAAGATCTTGTTATTTAGAGGCAATATTAAGACTACTTATCCTTGTGATAAGTTGGATTATCGTAGGCTCAAAAATTTTATCCTATTTATAAATAAATCAACCTTATTACTTACTAATTATACCTTTTGGAATTTAAAAAGATCCATCTTGTATTCTAAGTATTTATTTTTGAGCTATAAAAGATAGTGAATATCTTCAAAATAAGAAAAATGTCACTTCTTCCTATAGAAGAAGATAATAATCAAGAATTTGAAGCAGAAGAAATTTTATAATTAAAGCAGCACCAAAATAGAATAAATATCTTGTACATTTGAAACAGGACTAAACTATCTCAAAAATCTAAGATCCTTCCAATTCACAAGAATATAAGGCTTCCTCACAAAATATGACAAAATAAATGAGAACAAAATTGAATAAGACAAAACTAAATAGAATAAGACATGAAAGACAAAATTGAGTAAACAAAAACATAACAAAAGAAATCTGAATAGAAAGATGCAAAACCAAACTTTACTAAGAGAAAAGGGTTTGAAACCATACTTGATAAAATTCTCCGAAAAGGCCTTATCAATTCTATTTATACCTTGTGCTATCACCCAAGTCTTTTGAGAATGTTCTTAGGTAGTAGGCTCTATCTAGATAACTACCTTAAATTCTTTTTTTAGAAGATTCTATGGTGGGCTCCTTTTAAATAACTACCCTAAGTTTTCTTCTAGAAGGTTATATGGTGGATCTCTCCTAAATAATTATCTTAAATCCTTTTTAGAATGTTCTAAGGTGGATCCTACTTGCTCCAATAATCTAATCTTAAATCTAGAAACTTCCATGGTTCTAATTATCTATATAATTATCTTATCAATACCTTGTTATAGTTAATCTTCCTCCACTAATAAAGAATGTCCTCGTTTTAATACTTTTCATTGTCATCATCTTCAACATCTTCATTCACTTCATTGCTAGTTTTACAATTTGTCAAAGATATTTTTTTCATTTGCTTCTTTCTTTGTTGAATATGAAGATGTATCTACAAATACACCATTATTTCTATGTAGATACATCTCTAAGTACTCATAAGCTTTTTTATCCTTCAAAAGATCAACATTATAATTTTTGATCATCTTCTTAATATCCAAATACATTAGTGTCTATGCCTTTTTACCTTAGTATTATTCAAAAAATACACATATTTATATTTTTTGCATCAAATTTGGATCTTATATAATTTATTGCCTTTGCTTAAGCAATACATCCAAAAGTTATGTGCAAATCATAAGGTTGCTTTTGATTCCAAGTCTTATAGAGTCATTGATGTGAATACATTTATAGAGCATGTAATCTTTGTAATTACTACATTTATCATGGCTTCCATCTAAAACTTATGGCTAAGATATTGAACATGAGGTATATTCCTTACTATCTCCAAAATAGTTTGATTTGCTTTTTTAGCAATTCTATTTTGTTGTAAAAGGTAAAGAGTTGAGATTTGTCTTGTAATATGTTGAATCTTTAAGAAACCATCAAAATATTTTGACAAGTATTTACTTCTATTATCTATGTGCAATGCTTTGATCTTGTATTCACATTGCTTCTCTCCAAGAACCTTAAATTCCTTAGAATTTGAAAAGTACACATTTTTGGCTTTAAAAATGAATATCCACACTTTTATTAAAAAATTGTCAATAAAAGTAATAAAGTATCTTATTCCACATATTGATGGCATCTTCAAAGCTCTACAAATATTTGAATGAAAAGTCTCTAACAACTTATCTTCATGTATTACAACTCCACTTAAAAATAAAGCTATTTATTATTTGCTTTAAATACAATCTTTACAAGCAAGACACATGACATTGTTGCATGGTTGCCAAGATCTAAGTTATATACTATGGATTCAAGTTCTTTTATGCTTTTGGCATTTAAATGACCTAGGCATCAATGCCAAATGCCAAATTTGTATTGATGTTGTGAAATCTCTCTAAATTATGGTATTTTGATTCTATTCACCTTCTTTCAATTAATGAAGTAGAGGTTGCCATCTTTAAAGCCCATAGAAATATCACCTCTACTTAATGTTTGTATAATATATCCATTCATATTAAATTTTATCTTACAACCATATAAATCAAGTTTTTTGTTAGGGACATAGTCCTTAGAACCTTCTAGAGACAAGTTTCTAGAACCGTCTAGAAGCAAGTCTCTAGAACCTTCTAGAAGCTTCTTAGTTGATAGAAGTTGCTTGAGAAGCTTCTTAGTTGGTACTAGTTGCTTGAGAAGCTTCTTAAATAGGAGTATATATTGGAATCCAGGCTAAAGAGTTCTTCAGTCTCGATAACACATCTCTTGGAGCTCTAATTCACCTATCTGGTGTTCTTGTATTCATCTAATTAATCTAGTTCT